TCTGCCGCGTTTCTGCTGCTACGTTCAAACGACACGTCGTGATCGATTTTTGCTGTGTTTCTGCCGTTACGTTTGAGTGGCACGTCGTGATCGATTTCTGCCGTGTTTCTGCTGTTTCATAATGTTACTTAATTAGTTTTATTTCTAATGCCTTTCTGTTCACATGATATGACGTCATTCTTTGTTCAATTTTATGTTGCTTCATGTCGAAAAATCATGTCTCAATGTTTAAATTTTTTTCTTGCTCTGCTGACATATCATGCCTCATTTTTGCACTATTTTTGCCATCATATCATAATGCAGATTTTGTTAAATTTCTGTTATATTTACACACGCACTATCTGACATAGCAGATCATACTTCGTTACTGCCAAAATTATGTCAGCATAGTATGCAACACATATCCTGGTAAAAAAAAAATTGATAAAGAACGATAGAATAAAATTACCATTTTCCATCGTTTTGAATATGAATTTGGTTCGTGAATTTACAAATGTGAATAGTATTATATCATATACGATAGAATACAATAGATAGTGATAGAATTTCTATTGTCAGTTTCCTATATAATGCAAATAGAATCTGAGTTTTATTGAACCAGATAAAATACGATAGAATGCTGACGCTTGCGAACGATAGAGCTTATAGAAAACAATACAAATTGATAGAAATTCTATCGTTCTCAATCGTTCTCTATCAACTTTCTTTACCAGGGCACTTAGCAAAACCTGACTTTTGCAGACTTGGCTATCTGGATACATTTGAGCTGCCGCTGAGTTGTTTAATTTGAAAATAAAAGAACTTTTTAACTTGCTATTAAATAATAAATTTTACAAATAAATATATCTCTAACTTATTGTTGAGTCGTACTATATGCTTGATTTCTCAACAAAATAGTAAGAGGTCAAAAAACATAACGGGTTTAGTCGAGATACGAACCTCTTTTAGTCGGGATACAAACCAGTAACCTTTTTTCAGTAACACCATTAGATGGCGCTAGGTAGTCTATTAATCTCTTGAGTTTTTTCATGTTACATCACTAAATACCGCTAGACAGTCTGTTCACCAATTTTGATCGAGTCTAACAATCCATTGTTATTCTGAAATATAATTCTAAAGAACTGCCACTGTCTTTTATGAAGAGTCAAGGTATGTAATGTAACTTTACGACAATCTGCTCATATTATTACTTTTAAGTAGAAAGAGATCATTCGAGAAGCTTTTTAGCAGCTTCCACCCTCTATTTTGTAGGTATATTATAATTATAACGTTTCTCATCCATAAAATTAAATAACAAATAGTAATCGTTCCATGTTTTATTTTAACTTTTAATTGAGTTTCAAATCGGAAAAAATATTTTTTTATACAAAATATAAAAAATACAATTTATTTTTTAAAAAAGGAACTGTAAAGTTATATTTACTATGTGGTTAACGAACATCGTATACTAATTTTTTACGTTCTATGAACGATCAAGTCGAAAAAATGTTGTTGCTGCAACGTTAAATAACAATGAAAAAATTATGGATTTAATTATACACATATACAAATTGAAGGGCACGCTTTCAAATAATATAAGTGTTAATTGTATTTAATTTTCCATTTATGCAGCAAACACAAAATAACAAACTTTAGCAAGTATTTTTATATTCGACGGATCTTATAATTAATGGATCTATTTGTGTAATAATGTGAGAAATAACTAAACCTCATATTCATAAATATACCTGAAAACTACAGATTTTATAAAACTGTTAAACGGTACTGTAAACTCATTACTGTAAAACGCTTTACAATTCATTTAATTACTTGTATTCTTGTTGAACTTACAACTTATTGGAATTTGTATGTATTCTTATAATCAAAGAAAGTAAATCCTGAATTGGAATTTGTCTATATTCTTATAATCAAAGAAAGTAAATCCTGAAGATTAAAGATTCACTTTCCTTAATTATGAATTAAATTGCATTACATAGTATGTTAGATTATATTGCATTAAAATTTATCAAATTATATTGGAATACTTTAGATTTTGTATAAAAATATATTAGATTGTATTAGGTTGCATTAGATTGTGTTATTTATAACTCATCATTATTTGATGATCACATTAATGTCTAATTATCCATTAATCTATATTAATTTAATAAATAAAATATTAATATAAAATTTTTTTGATCAAATATGTTGGTAGAAAAAAATAAATTCACAAATTTCATGAACTTATATCGGCCAGGAACACATGATGAGCGAGAAGGTGGCACGAAACTCGTAAAATTTTCTATCTCATTTTTCTTAAAGAAAAAAGTGCGATTCAATTAAGCATATTGGTAAGTATGTAAGTATTGTAAGTATGTTAGCTATATTAAGAGAGACGATAATAAATAAGAGAGATAATAAATAAGAGATAACAACGGTTGAATATTGCTTTATGAGAAAACATGACTAAAGCATACTTTAGATATCATGAAAAGCATACTTTCAGATATCATGATTCAGCGAATCGTGATTGATGTAAAGTTGTATTTTGGAGATAAAAGCAGCTATATAAAACACCACCGTTGAATCCGTCAATTTATCGCAGTATATACGCGAGGAAGAGCAATTGATCGCGACTCGCTCCATCGCGATAAAAATCGGTTCTACGAGCTTCCGTATTTACAGTCTGTACATAAGGATCGAAGATAAATGATTTCAAGCTTGAAGGAGAGAAATAGGGACGGACGAGATAAGATTAAAGGTCGCCAGTTTTGTGACGGATCGCAAGCAGTAGGTCGCTCTCACGACTCTGACCCTCTGTGTACCGCGCAATTATTTCTTATTCTCGGCGTAATGACGCTCGACGAAGATCCCGGAGCATTCAGAGGTCTCTTCCACCATTCCGGGGTTAATAGTACGAACATCACTTCTTCTTTCTCGTCTCAGGTGCCGGTACGTCTTCTACAATGTCTCTCATTTGTCCTCTTCTCTTTCCTGATACTTTCGACACATAAAACTGCTTGAATAGTTGAAAATTAGATCTGTTTTGCCACTTAGGACTTAGGCCCATCGTGTTAATTCATTTTGATAACGCGCTTCAGCGTGTCATAATCCTCGCGTGTTCGTAAATAAATATTTCGGAGAGTCACATCGTGACTGTCATATTTTCCATGACATTACGATTTGTATATTTATCGCTACTTTGGTAGATTTTATCGGCGAGTTTGAGAAGCAGATTCCGGACTCGCAAAGTTCTCATGTCGCGAATTCAATTTGACGAAACTTGCAAACGCGTGCACGAGAAACTGCCGAGAGCGACAAGCAAAATCGAGCAATTCAGGTGGCGCGGCGACTCGAGCGGAGGGAAACTTTTTTACATTTGATTTTGCGACAGTTAGAAATGAATATCTTCGTTAAATGAATTTTTATTGCGTTGCGCACTTTGCGTCGGATGCTGTCCGGGGCAGAAGAATAATAGAGGAAGCCAGATGAGTAATAGTCGGATAACTACCTGGACAGCAGGAAAATATTTTTCGGTCGAAGGTCTGGTCGTGCAATTTCGCGATGATGAAGGATCGCGAGATATCGTAATGAAAAATATTTTCTGCATTACGATCTCGAGTGCCCGTTATCGTTCGACATTTATGCCGGGCGTTACAGTAGGGATTACTACGTGGACGTTTAGAGTGCCTCTGTGCGGAATATACATTCTAGCATATATTCTAGCAATTAATCAATAGTATCGATTAATCATTTAAGAACCGCGATAATCAATCAGTCATGCGCATTACTCATTTCTATTCCCCGTTCGAACACTGCGGGCTCCAAAATCCCACAGTGTCTGGAGGTCTCGCAGGTATTAACGTGGCACTGTCTATGACAAGGAATTATCTATTCCCGTCGTATGGCCAATTACCAAACACTTCGTATATCGAAGCCTCGAGGCGAGACTATGGGGATACTTCGATAACAATAGAGTCACGATATATTTACGCTTATGTGATATCGTGTTGATCGTTTCAACTTCGTTACAAAACTCTGATACTTCGTGATATTTGCATTGAGAGAAACTCTTGAAAATTCATTTGTGAAATATAAGGTTTATTTATGTGAATAAACTTTATATTCCACAAATAAATTTTCAAGTACTTTTTTCAGTGCATATTATTCGCATAATCATGGAGAGAAAATTGTTTACAGAGCGGTGATGAAACAAAATCGAGCAATGAGAAAGTAAGAAAAAATATGTACACTGAGAGAGAAAATAGTTCTAACTAGAATTATAGTTATTTTTTTACTCCAACCATATTTGTTGTTCTAACACACTAATAGTAGTAGAAACATAGATAGATAGATATAAAGTTATTATCACTAATATTATAGTAAAATATTATAATAAAAAATAGTTTCCTCAGCCATAATTCATAAGTCATTTTTCTATGCGATTATAGTTACGAGTACCAAATATTTTTTTCTCAGTGTATTCCAAGAGAGAACGGAAAGGAATGATATTGATATTTCAAAATAATTCTTCAGGAGAAATTATTGTAACGTGCTTATCGATATTTTTATTTGATATGCCTTTCAAATATGCTCGTCAACGTCGAGAAGCGAGTGTCGACCGGGAAGTAGCCGGTGACGAAATCAAAATATCGATACTCCGGCAGTCGAACAGGGATCATTCGGCACCTCTCTAGGCGCCAGGGTGCCTAATAGTGCCGAGCCTGGTCGGTGGTGGG